CTAATAATCCGAGCAGTTCCAATAGGGTCTTCGCACCCTTTTGGTGCTCGGACCCTAATAATCCGAGCAGTTCCAATAGGGTCTTCGCACCCTTTGGTGCTCGGACCCTAATAATAATAATAATAATAATAATCCGAGCAGTTCCAATAGGGTCTTCGCACCCTTTGGTGCTCGGACCCTAATAATCACAACGGTTTCAATAGGGTCCTTGCACCGTTAGTGCTCGGACCCTAATTAAGTTTACAGACTACTACAGATGGGCTGCAAGGTGGCGCAGTTGGTTAGCACTGTTGCCTCGCAGCAAGAAGGTTGCCGGTTCGCGTCCTGGTGGGGGGCACCAGAATCTTTCTGCGTGGAGTTTGCATGTTCTCCCCGTGCAGCGTGGGTTCTCTCCAGGTTCTCCGGCTTCCTCCCACACAGTCCAAAAACATACTGAGGTTAATTGGTGATTCTAAATTGTACGTAGGTGTGAATGTGAGTGTGCTTGGTTGTCTGTCTCTAAGTGTGGCCCTGCGATGGACTGGCGACCTGTCCAGGGTGTCCCCTGCCTTCACCCTAAGTTGGCTGGGATAGGCTCCAGCCCCCCCACGACCCTAGTGAGGATTAAGCGGTGTATAGATAATGGATGGATGGATGGACTACTACAGACTTAATAAGATAGTAAATAGTCAGACTCTAATTAAGATATAAATTGATTACAGGCTACTTAAGATCGGAAGTGACTTCAGAATCAAGATGTTAATTAAGGCTAATTAATTTTTAATTAACTACAGATTCATGAAGACATAAATTAATTACAGACTAACTGGGATGTAAATTAAGGCTAAAACTGCTAGGATGGCATGTTTGTTATGTTTTTGTTTTGCTTGTTTTCTGTGCCTTGGTGTGTGGCGGGCGTGTCTTTTCCTGTTCTCCCTGCAGGCTGGGCGGAGCCGACCTGAATGAGACAATCAAGCGCTGACAGCTGCGGCACATCTTCTCATCAGCGGCCAGCCGTACAAATACGGGCAGCTCACAGACCTTCAGCGCCAGATGATTGTGATTCCTCACCGTGGTACAGTCAGGCCGCTTAGCAGCAACTTGTCGAGCAACGTCAAGCTAAGTTCACAGTTTTTTGAGTATCTCAAGTTCATGGTTTTTTCCTCGGCATTTCCAGCGTCTCGTCTCGGCTCCAGCTCCAGTGTTTCTCCCCACACGCCTGCCGCCTCTCCTCCCTCGAGCACACTTCACGGGAACACACGGACACGAGCATCTTCACCCAACGGATCTCCGGTTGAGCACCTGCACAGGGAAGATCTTCACGGGATACAGATTCACACCAGCACCGTTCCTGGAGCACAGCACCCCCACCTACCACCTGGGGTCTCCACCGCGACACCCCCACTGGATTCCCCCACCGGGACACCCTCACTTCCCCCTCCCTTGTCAAATAAATCTTTTCCTTAACATTTTCTCCCGTCTCCCTTTTTCGTTTGGGTCCACCCGCTTAGATTCTGAGACTCAGGTCGTCACACAAACACAATAAGATACTAATCAATCACAGCCTAATTAGCTTGTCAATAAACTACAGGCTAATGAAGAAGTCCATTAACGACATGTTAAATCAACGACAGACTAAGTAGGGTATTAAGTTTCAAAAATTACAGACTATATAAAGATATGAAATACCTACAGAGTAATTAGGATGTTGTACATTAACTAAAGGTTACTTAAATTTTCTATTAGGTACAGGAAAACCTAAATTAACTACAGAGTAGTTAAGGTACAAATTAATAAGGATGGTGAAGATGAAGCAGCCAATTTTGAGCGTTTATCTTCATATTTACAGACTGGAGCTGAGCTTTCACCCATTTCTCTTTTCCCCTGGGCTCAGGGAGGAAAACTCAAGGTGACAACAACATGAGTCTGATGATGATGCAACCAGAGCTGATTAATCTGAGACACCAGAACTGGTTCAGGAATAATCTGAGGTCAGAACGGCTCCATGAAACTCCATGAAACCCACAAGAACACGTTGTATTAATCTGCATGAGGCCAAATTCATGTCTGAGGAGGTGACGTCACATCTGCTGCCTTAGAATTTCCCAGTAATCTCACAGTAAACACCTTTTCACATCATGACTTAATAATAGTTTAATTTTGGGTTTAGTTTCTCTCAAACGCACAGAAACAAACACTTTTACACTTTGTAACATTGACAGAACCTCCAACATATGAAGGGCTTTTATTTTCAACAGTTTGCAGTGCCTCTCTTGTGCAGCTTGAACAAGGAAAGTATAAAAATAAAATATTTTGAAGCTGCTAGTTGATTAAATAACTTAAAAAATAACATTAAATTCCAAGTTATTGATCATTATCAGGTGGGAGTTACAGGTACAGTCAGTCACATGCTGCATTAAAATGCATTTTTCTTAATCAAACATCTGGATTATGTACAAAACACAATTATTTTAAATGAAAATGTGCAGAAGTTATCAGTAAAAATGAAATAAATACAGACAGACATACTGGATGATGGTCCCTCAGACAGACACTGAGCTGCTTTCAGGTTACATTAGTGGTAATTAATAAACCACAGTTCAGTTCCCAAAACATTTAAAGAAACTAACATGGAAATGGACGCATTTAATGTGAAGTCCTGAGCTGCTCCAGTCTGTGTTCCAGCTCTCTGCTCCTCTTCCTTAGCTCATCCTTCATTGTCAGCAGCCTCCCCTCATCCTCTCGAATCCCTCTGATGAACTCCGTCGCCTTCTTCAGGATCACCACTTTCGCCGCTTTGTTGTTGTTCGCCACTGCTGGGACTTCATTCCTCAGAGCCAAGAAACTCATCTTCAGCCCGCTCCGTCGCTGCCTCTCCAGCACATTGTGAGTCCTGCGTTTGTCGTCATCCTCGCCGTCCAACCGCGGACTCCAGCAGCGACGGCCGCCGCTCTGCCTCGGCAATGGGCAGCCGCCCCTCGCCTTCAACCACTTAACAGCAGGCTGCTGGGCGGCGTAGTTGTGCTGGCGGATGTTGATGTGTGAGCGTTTAAGGACCAGAGGGGAAGGTTCCGGCCGGAGACATGCTTTTCGCCTGTCCACTGTCACCACGTCGATCTCTACATCCTCTTCCTTTTCCTCCTCTTCATCTGAGGAAAAACATGGAAAACATTCTGGTGTAAATTCAAATGATTACCATTTAAAACAAATAAAATAAAACTACTCGTTTCAGTTTAGGTACAACAACATGACTCATCAAAGAATTACTGGACCAGCCACCACACCTGAACCTCTGAAGTGAAGCCCTGAACACACACAAAACAGCAACTATTAAGAGACACAAAACGACAACCACAAAAGAGACACAAAATGAGGAGAAACAGCTACGAAGACACTCAACAATCACCAGAAAAAGACGCAAACCAATAAAAGAGAATCAAAACTACAAAAAGACATACATTGACCATGAAGACACACACAATGACCACTAAAAAGACACAAAACTACCACAAATCGACGCAAAACCCCCACAGAGTGATGTAAACCAATAAAAAGAGACTCAAAATAACTACAAAAGGATACAAAATGACGCACAATGACCACAAAGACACAAAAACAACCACAGACACACATAACTACCCTACGGACACATAATGACCACGAAGAGTCACAAAACAGCAGCCACAAAGAGATGCAAAATGAAGGGAAGCACATATGACATTCAAAAACAACCAGAAACAGACACAAACCAATAAGAGACTAAAAACAACTATTGTGGCGAATGAAGACATTGGCAGCTCTACATGCCACAGTAGGCTAAGACGTGAGGGTTTAAACACTGATGACGCGCAGACCAAACATTTGCACAAGTCACGGACATTTATTGTGGAGATCGCCAGCTGAATAACAAACTTGCACTTACTTTGGTGACGGCTCAGTGCAGTTTAGTTACCTGATCGACAGTGCAGATTTTGTTGACTATTTGGAGGATGCGGTCAACAGAAAGTTTCCCCCCAAGCTCGCCCTACGCCATGCATGCTGACCCGACACACACAGACTAAGATGAGCACGCACTAAAACCACTCCCACCTCCAATCACCGTGGTGCTGAATGCACGTTTGCAAAGCGCGTGCTAACACACACACACACACACACACACACACACACACCTGGGAAACCCACTTGCCCCCCTGTATGGCTCCTACAACAACTACAAAGACACACAAACTGAGAAGCGGGTATAAAGACACTCACAAACCACCAGAAAGAGATGAAAGAAACTCAAAATGACCACAAAGAGACATAAAATGACAACAAAGTCTCCTGAACAACCACAGAGATTCAGAACGAGGTGGGGGATCAAGAATTCCAAAATTAAAGCCTGCTTCTCACCTGATTCACTGTCGCTGCTGCTAAACGGCGGTGAGTCCAGACACACCTCGGATGCCACCTTCACCGCTGCCCCGCCGCCGCTCTGCTTCTCGCTCACCGCGCTGAACACCTCGGCGGGGTCGATGCATTCTGCCGCTGCAGCGTGGAGGTCCTGCAGGTACCCGGTGTTCACCTGACACCTGCCCGCCTGTTCATCCACTGCTCCGCCTGCGATGGTGCTAGAGGTGGAGGAGTCTTGGCGGGCCTGGAGCGACGCCAGCCTCTCTGACACCACCCTCTCCAGCTCAGTGGCAGCGGCAAAGCTGCTGCTCCACATGCAGTCCTGGATGATGAAAGACTGGAGGAAGGTCGCCGAGGGGTTGCAGTCCTGGTCCAGCAGCTCAGACATGGCCTCCAGGTGGTCGGCGGTGGACAGGGAAGGTCTCCGGCTGGGAGACAAAGGAGGCGTTGGAAGCAGCTCGAACTTCTTCCAGATGTCCTCGCCGGGACCCGGGAGGACCTGGCTGCGAGGAGGCGGGTAGAAGTCCTCCTCCTCGCCATCCAGGAGGAAGTAGGGCTGAACCGTGTCGTAGTCGTAATCGTAGTTCATGCTGGTCAACACTGGCGGCATTGTGACTGCCTGTCGAGGAAAAAAAGATCAGAGGTTTACAAGTTTTGTAGGACTCGATGTAATCCTGAAGGGACGTAAAATCTTCACAAAAATAAAAGCACACTGTGAAAGAGAACCCTGTGATAAAACACTGAAAATCTGGTAGCAAAGACAAAAAATAGGTTAAAAATGGTAGAACAAAAAGTCTTAAAAAAGAAGAAAATAACAGCAAATAGCTGCAAAAATAAAATAAACTGTGGAATGTTAGAGTCACGCTTATAAACACATATAGGAACTACACGGTGCCAGACCCCCCCAGCCTGTTTGACGGCCATGTATTTGCAGCACAAGATATATATGTGTAAGCGCTATTTTCCAGAAACAAGTATGATTTGATTTGAACAATAATTTCTGATGGTGAAATGTTGTAATGGAGCTCATTCATTTATTCCTTTAAATGGTTCTGGTAGGAGAGTATTAATGTGTTTGACTTTAGTGTTATCCTGTGGGGCTTCTGTACGCTTGTTTTTGTGCGTAGAAGAAGAGTGTTGTGAGGAAGTGTACAACAAACGAGCGGACGGCGGAGCAAGACAGTAGTTTTACCGTTGTTCTAGTGCTACGTTCACTCAACGCGTAAGACAGCCTCCCGTCCCTTATTTCATGAAGTGGTTATAACAACAGTAAGAAAGATGTTGACAGCGTTAAGAACTAAAGAACACAGATAACTAAGATAGGCACTACAATTTGTATATATATGCTTGACTTTTGACGTGGATGTTTTGGTCAGTTTTTTTTTTTTTTTAACATTAAGGTACGTATGCTTTTGGTGATTTTACTAGATATTATCTGTAATTTAGTGAGATGCTTAAGAGTTTAAAAACAACTGAACATTTGTATAACAACTAATTCCCATTCTTTACATTTATTTTCTCTCTCTCTCTCGCTTTTTTTTTTTTACAGTTAACACATACATTTCTTTATTTTTGTTACTTTAAAAAAAAAAAGGTTTTATCTGTCATAAAAAAATACTAAAAATATTTTCCCCCTTTTTAAAAAAAAAAAAAGTGCACTAAGTCTGATATTAACATCACAACAGATGTTTTTTGTCTGCACCAAAGTCCATTTATAAAACAGGTGCACTGTCAACACTGTCAGCTCAAATATGATCAGTGTCAGGAGGTTATTTTTAAAATTTGGCTTTAAATACTCACACAAAACTTCATTCAAAAAGCTGATAGTTTTTTAATCCTTTATGGTCCAACACAATGCAAAGATTATTTATCAGTACGACCCTGTCTATTATACTGACGGCACTATATTAATTAACGAAAACGCATCAAACTTCAGTAAAAGGTGTGGGATTATCAGGATGTTGTCAGACACTAGATGCCGATTGCGTGACTGCTGAGGGAAACGAAGGAGGATTAACCAAAACCGACAGCTGACACACAACAATAGCCTCCAGTTAACACAGCTGGTAAAATAGCTACACTGAAGAGTTTGGCTATTTTTAATTTTTAGTAGTTTTTAGTTTTTGTTAGCAGCAACGTGCAAACGAGTTATTTCCCTGAAAAAAAAAAAACGGAGTGTAGAGTGAAATTGGACAGCTGTATATTTGTATCACTGTCACACGAAAGTCCGTTCAAGACGGAGCAACTTTAGGATGATTTTGTTTACGGTTAAAGCTCAGCGACATGAAAAATAATTCAGACACATATTTGTTAACATAAGAAGACAAACTCCACGTCGGCAGGAAAAAAACTAACATTTAAAACCAAAAGCTGTAATAAACACTTGAAAAGCTACTAAAGTTTTTCCAAACGGAGGAAAACTACATGATGCGCAGCATAAGCTAACATGTTTGCTGACAGTTGAGGCGCGGCGCAGATTCATCAGACTCCCTTTTATCAAAACCCGCGATTGCATTTTAATACACCATTATCGCAGCTTTAAGTATCACGTGTGACAATCAAGTTGTGGAAGCTGGTAGAAGCAAACTTCGGGGGTTAATCCGGCTTATGTTTGAGGTCGATTTGCCGAAAAGTAGAAACTACAGTGAATAAAGGTGCTATTTATCAACTCACCGTTACTCTCCGAGAGAAGACTTGATGAGAAAAAGGAAAAAGAAAGTCTAAATATCCGAGCCGGTTTTTCGCGAGCAGAAGATGTCCTCGGACAATCAATAATCGATCACAGTGATGTGTGAGTCAATAACTGTCTGAGTGTAAATCACCGCAACCAGCTGTTTACCGCAGGTTAAGTACTCCGGCGGATTGTCTTCATCCGCACAATCTCACAGTTGACAGACCAAATGCTAAAAACTAAAACGACTTGGCAGCAGGTTCCTGACAGCGTGAAAAAGGCGCCGCAATTTGCGTTTTCTGTCAGTGAAAGTCGGAACCTAAAGAGAGTTGTGGGTTGAAACGGTGAACGAAACGCGTTAAACGTGGGAACTGTTTTACTCCGCGGATGTGCACCGAAGCGGCACGGCGGTCCGAGCTGACTGTAAATGATGCAAAGGAAAGAAGTTCCGGGAAAGTCCTTCAGCGATGAAGTCACGAGCAACAAAACAAACAAATAAATAACAAACAATACAAAAGGATTAAAAAGGGGAAAAAAACACAGAGGAAAAAAATAATTGCCAAAAAAATAAAAGCAAGAAAAGAAATGAAGACTATAATAACATAATAAAATAATATGAAGCACAGATACGATTTAAAAGAGACATTAAATACTCAAAAATGAAAAAGCAAAATGAACAATATTAAAGACAACTGTAGAATAACATCCAAGGAACAATATGGTAAAAGAAAAATAAAATCTTCAAAAAGAAGACAAAAATACTAACTTCAATAATGAGATAACATTGTAAAAGCAATTAAAGGATCATGTTAAATAAAAACACAAATATCAAACTTTAAACAACCCTAAATAGTTCTGAAATGCATTAAAATTAAGCAATAAAAAACCGCAAATATTAAACATTACCTGTTATTCAAACAAGATTAACACAAAATAAAGATAAAACCATTTAAAAGGAAACAAAAAAATCTTAAGTAAAAAAACAAACATGTCACACACTCAAAAGACAACTTGACAGAGATCAAATAAATTAAAAAAGGAAAGTGAAAAAAGGAAGAAATTAATAACAATGAGTAACAAATTAAAAGTTAATAAAGGTTTAATTAATTAATTAATTAATTTGTGTTTCTGAATTTTAATTTCTTGAGACAGTAGTCAGTCAGTACTGTGGAGTAAATCTTATATCCTTGTTGTGTTTTTTCTTTAGTTTGTGTCTCATCTTTAATCTCATTTTGTGTCTCTGAACATTTGATTCACTTAGGAATAAAAAGTAAAAAAAAAAAAAAATCTCTGCTGCCCTTTGCTGCTGAAAACAATACGCAGCTTCACTGGACAACACTGTACTGTAATAGTACAGTAAAAAACAGAAGAACTTATTGCTTTTCCTTTAAATCATTTTCATTTTAAATGTTTTTTTTTTTCAAATTAATTTTGAATTTAAATTCTTCCTCCACCACTTTTAAAAGATGAGTCAGTCAGATTCATCCTCTGGGAACCACGAATTTCTGAACAAAATTTTATGAAGATCTACCTGACAGTTGATGTATTTCAGTCTGAGAGTGCTGCAGTTGCAACAGTGTCAGCAGCAGCAAAAAAGATACCTCTGATTGGTTTGTTTGTGCATCTTTGGAGTCATTTTTTACATCTCTTTCTGTTTTGTCTCTTTTTGGTGGGGATGCCCGATATTGGTGTAAAAATGTAATATCGGTCAATATCGTTATAGTTTTTTTTTTCCTATAATGAAAACCAATAACATAATGCCTGGATTTCGCTGATATTTACTGGCGCACAAATGATGACGACATTAAACTGCGTCGTGAAGTGTGCAAACAACTGTGGCTGCAGTAACAAATTTATATCGTTATCGGAATCGTAAATTGAGAGTTGGACAATATTGGCATATTGGATATTGGTAAAAAAAAAAAAAAGCCAATATCGGACATCTCTACTTTTTGATCATGGTGAGTCTGTTTGTCATCACATTGCATCCATGTCATGTTGTTTCGTGGCCCTGTTGCATCCCCTTGAGTCATTTAATGTCTCTTTTTTGAGATCAAAAAGAGTCTGTTTTTGTTTGCTTTGCATTTACTTATAGTTGTTTGATGTCTCTCTGAAGTTATTTTGCATCCCTTTGATTGATTTTTCATCTTATTTATTTTTGGTTAAGTCTCTTTTTGTTGTTGCAGCTATTTGTAGTTGTTTTGTGTCATTTTACGTCTCTGTAAGTCATTTTATGTCACCTTTAAGTTATTTAGTCTATTTGGTATTGACATTTATTGTCTATTTGATTCACTTTGTGTGTACTTGTGATTGTTTTATGCTGCTTTTAAAAGTCTTTTTGTATTTCTTTATTATTCTGTGTCTCTCTTTGATCATTTTGTGGGCATTCTAGGCCATCTTTGGTTTAGATGTTGTTTTAAGTCTTGCATCCATTTGTGGCTGTTTTCCACCACTTTGTTTTATTGTATATCTCTATTTGGTTGCTTCCCATGCCTCTGCAGCTGTTTGAGTGGTTTTCCAACAAGTGATCATTACAGTCTTTTCAAATAGCAGCTCTGGACCAGGTTCCCTGACACTTTGGGCTCCTCTCTAGCAGGTCAGGTGTGTCCAGCATCTTGGAGAACTTGTTGTTGTGTGAACTCAGTGTGTCTCAGTGTCTCTTCATGTGATCCAGACTGACTCCATGATGCTGAGATCAGGCTCTTTGAGCTCAGACCATCTGCTGCAGGACTCCTGGTTCTTCTTGTGGCTGCAGATGGTTCTTTATGAGTCTGGCTGGATGTTTCCTGCTGCAGAAGGAATCTGGGACCATCAGACGCCTCCTGGTGCTGATTGAGGCTCTTGAGATGTTTGGATTCCTCTCCAAGTGTTGTATGTCATTTAGTTTGTGATTGTTGGTTGGATTAAACATGCGGTTTGATCACCATCAGATGAATCAGTGATGAAAGTTAGTTGCAGCTCACAGACAGAAGCAGCTGCGTTAGCAGCAGCGGAAGCAGCAGCAGCCACAGCAGCACTCACAGCAGCAGTAGTGTCTGGTCCTGGTAGCATCAGTAGTCGAAGGCTGGATGCAGTGGGTGTTTGCAGCCACTAGAGGGTAGCAGTGTAACACTGATAATCCTGACTGCAGCAGCAGCAGCATCATGCAGACACTTCTTTATGGACACATGTTGACATGTGACAGCTGGAATTAAAGACATCAGTAACAGATCAGGACACTCAAATATTGTGTAATATTGTGTAGGGATGCCATGAGTACAAATCCGGCCCATTGTCTTTTGCTGAAGGTCTTTCAACCACTCTCCTCCTTAATTTCCCATCTTCCTCTCTCCATTTACCGGTCTACACATAGGCTAGTTTCATTAAAGTCCACTTCATCTCAAGGTGACTCTGCTTATCTGCCCCCTTTGGTAGTGCAGGTTTGGGGGTTTGTGATCTCAGGGACTGTCTGTGACGTGCTTGCTCAGATTGTTCCACAGCATCACTGGAGCAGAGTCACTGCCAAACACAAAATTCATGTCATTCCAAAATAAATGGATAAAACTAACAAAGTGTCCTGTCTGAATTGGTGGTAGGTTAATTTGGAATTTTGGAGAAATCACATTTACCACGAAAGAGAAGTGAGAAAGTTGCACCAAATTCTCAGTGACTGATGATTACTCGCGTGTGTGTTATTGTGAATTATTATTGTGTTATTGTGGATGCAGATGGTTCTTTATGAGTCTGGCTGGATGGTTTGGCTCGTTGTCCTGCTGCAGAAGGAATCTGGGACCATCAGACGCCTCCTGATGCTGATGGAAAAGAATCCAAACATCTACCATGTCTAAAACGTTTCACAGTGTTGTATATAATTTAGCTTTTGACAGATGGTTGGATTAAACATGGATTTTGATCACCATCAGATGAATGAATGATGAAATACAGCAGTGCCATGTTCTGGTAGCAGCAGTAGTAGAAGGCTGGATGCAGTGTGTGTTTGCAGCCACGAGAGGGTAGCAGTGTAACACTGATAATCCAGACTGCTGCAGCAGCAACATCCTGCAGACACTTCTTTATGGACACACTTTGACATGTGACAGCTGGAATTAAAGACATTAATAACAGATCAGGAAACTCAAATGTTGTGTAACTGCAGCAGAATATTCAGATGATATAAACATATGAAGAATAAAACATGTGCCAAATAGATATGATGAATTGATACAGTTTAAAAATGTTTTTTATTTAATGCAAATTACAGAATTACCGAAAATGAATATATTACAACACAGTTGAACTGTTTGATATTTTGATGAAGATACTGAGCAGATATTTCGTTAAAATCTAAATGCGTTTATGTTTAAAGACCAACACGTCCTCATAATGATGAAACATTTTTAACAATATTATTATCATAAATAAAGGGAATGAAACACACATTTAGAATTTGAGCAAATGAAGTTCAGACACACAAACTAACTCTTTTAATTTATTTTAAATTCTAGTGGAGATTGAAAAGGTTCTAAAAGCTGAAAGTTGACGAATGTGTCTATAATTATGCAGCATAAATAAATCAATGAGAATATTAATAATAAATGTGGAGAATTGTTTAAAAGTGTTTGACATGGTATAAAAGTGAAACTATTATTGAAAAGTGGTCAGAGTTGAGGAGCTGTGTGGATTTGTAGTTTTCTGTTTCCATCCCAACAACAGATAACAGTCTGTCATGTCTCGTACCAGGTGTTAGGTTTTATTTAGTTTTTTTGTCTTGTATTTGTGTTGTCTCGTGGCTTTTATTTTGAAACCTCTTTGCCCTCGTGTTTCAGGACGCTTGCCCTCTCCCCGGTGTTTCCTGTGTCTGATTGTCTACCCAGCCCTGATTGTCTCCACCTGTCCCTCATTACCTTGTGTGTGTGTATATATAGTCTGCGTCTCCCTTTGTCCTGTGCCATTTCGTCTTGTCATTGAGTCAAGCTTCACGTTCTAGCCCTCTTCATGTCCAGGATTTCCCCGTTCATGTCCCTTGTGGAAACTACCTTCAGGTTTTGTATTTTGTTTGCTACTTTGTATTCAACCTCTTTCGTAGTCAAGTGTTTGAGTTGTTACTTTGTTTAGAAAGATTAAGTTTTTCCTCATTGAGTGATTTTTAGTTTGTATTTCCTCATCGAGTGATTATTTTTTTTTTGGTTCTTTATTCTCCTCGTTAGAGTGACGTTTTGAGTTTGGGTTTTTTATTGTTGAATGATATTTCTGTTGATACTTTTGTAAATAAATCAGTTTGAGAACGTTTTAGAGTCGTGCATTTGGGTTCGCTTTTTTGTTGGTGTCACAGTCTGTGTTACTAAATTCTGCACCAACTTGAATGTGTTTGTGGGAACATGAATGTTTTTAGTCATTCTGCATCATGTGACCAGATTTCTTGGCTCTGCCATCAGGTTTAAATCCAGACCATGAAAGGACACAGCAGCTTGAGCTAATTTATGAAGCTAGCTACTGCCTTACCAAACTCACATTTGGCCAGGTTAAGCGTCAGAGAGGCCGCGTGCAAACGGTCAAAGATCTCATGTAGTGTTTTCACGTGCTCAGTCCATGATAATGAATATGCCACTATATCATCGAGATAGAATGCTTTATTGTCATCAAACATGGTGCATGACGAAATTCAAGATAGCTGCCATATTAAGGTGCATTGAAAATATAAACATAATAGACGTAATAATAAAAACATACAATAACTATGGCAGAAGAAGTAAACCAGTATAATGTTTACAACCAAGATCAGTTTCAAAAGACCCGATATTGTACATAGAGATAGATCGCACAAAACAATATTCATCAACCGCTGGAAGGTGGCTGGTGCGTTACGCAGCCCAACTGGCATGACTGTGTACTGGAGAAAGTGATCGGGGGTGACGAAGGCGCTGATCTCAGATGCACGTTCAGTCAGTGGGACCAGCCAGTAGACTTCAAGAAGGTCTAACTTGGTGACATATCTAGCAGAGCCCACACGATCGACACAGTCATCCATTCGGGGCAGCGGAAATGAATCCGGTTTAGTGATTGCGTTAACCTTGTTATAGTCATTACAGAAGTGCGGAGTCTGGTCAGATTTTGGTACAAGAAGCGAAGGAGAGCTCCAAGCGCTGCAACTCAGGACAGCGAAACCATGGTCAATCAGATACTTTACCTTTTTTTTTTTTTTTTT